TCACCTCATTTCCAGATCCAAAACCATCGGTAGGAAGTTGAACCTCATACCTCGTTTCTTGATTCCCTATGAGTCTGACAGTGTGCTTCTTTGCTTTCTCTATCTTCTTTGGCATGTATTCCATGACATGGCTACAATAAGGTGTGTTATGATTATCTTCAATATGTTTCTTTGCTAACTCGTGCCTTTCTCTGAAATATCTCAAAGTGCCATGGAATACAGCCTCCACAATAGCTGTGAGTGGTAATGCTCTATTCCCTCTCAGCACAAAGTTATACACCTCTGCAAGATTGGTTGTCATGTGGCCATACCTAGCTCCATGTGTGTCATGCAGCAAAGACCAATTCATTGGAGGCTCTTTCTCTATCCACTCAGAAAAATTCTTTATTGCCCTTCCCATCTTTCTCTTAGTATTAGGAGGGTCAATTGTTGGCAAGTCACAAAGACCTACTGGCTCCTCTAGCTTCGCGATGAGTGCTGCTAATTTAACCTGATCTTCTTCCATTTTCTTCCTCGCACGGACCTGCTTCTTAGTAAACTCATCTAGTTTTGACCAAATAAATTCGTATTTCCGCTGCTGGCTCTGCTTGCATAATTTTTTGAACAAGTTCATCAACCGCTTGTTCTTGAACTGTGAGAAAAATTAGCCCCAAGATGGCGCATGCACCACTGGCTCTGCAAGTCCCTCCAAGGTGTTGGTTCGTCATCTGCTGGATTACGAAGTGTCTTCACGGTCTTCAATATACCAGCATGTCTGTCATGAATGACACACACGTTTGGTCGGTCCTTCACGATGGCAATTTTCACTTGGCGGAAGAACCATACCCAGCTGAGAAAGTTCTCACCCTCCACAAATGTCATGGCAAGTGGGATGATTTGATTGTTCCCATCCACACCAATAGCAGTCAGGATTTGCCCTCTATACTGACCGGTTAGGAATGTACCATCCACAAACATAACAGGGGGACAATGCCGGAAAGCTTCGATGCACATAGCAAAAGAGAAGAACACTCGTTTCAACACCTTGAAATCTGGTATACTCAGCAACCTCATGTGTTGTACGTTCACATAAGTGCCGGGATTCCTCTCCTTCAGTATGCCCAGGAGATAGACAACATTATCATATGAGTCGAAGAACGTCCCAAACCTTTCCTCCATAGCCTTCTGCTTAGCCCTCCAAGCCTTCCCATAAGGAATGACATAATTCCATCTGACCTTCACTGCTGTCTGGATGTGTTTTGCTTCCATATCTTTCTTCTCTACTATCTCAGTATACATGAGTTGCGCAATGAGACTTGAAGTCAGGTTCGAATGTTTGACCAGCAGGTTCGTCCTCACACAATTATGTGGGACGACAATGGTGACAACCCAGTGGATGTCATACTTCGGCACGTGCCCGTGCACCTTCCCAGGACAACCTGTTACAACACATTTCACGGTATAGTTTGTTGGACTTGATATGTGTGTCTTGAAAACCCTCTGCGTAGATATAGCCCACTTTATCACCGCATACTTCAATTTTTTCTTTGTATCAAACATAGCCCCTATTTGTACTTGGTTCAGATTATACTGCCATGGAGTCTCATGGCCATCGTTCACCGTAAGGCCGATGGATATGTCCTGCTCCCATGCAGAAGGAATCGGTACCTCAACTTCATCCTCAGAATTTTCAGAATCCAATTCCTCCACCAATCCATCCTCGTCCTCTTCCTCCATCACCCTCTGCATTTCATCCCCTTCCTCATCCCCATCAGCAAAACCAGAACCAGCTAATATTATCGACTGTCTACTCTGCCCAGTATCAGGACCACAAACATTGTGTGGCACGTAGTCTGACTCTTTCTCGGGTTGGCTAGCATCCACATCTTGTGGCTGTGACCCGGATAAAACAATCTCGTTAGCCACTTCACTGCCTTGGTCGGGTTCATACCCCCTGTGGAGTTGTACGGTATTCTCCTCCTTCGGCACAGGTTGCACAAGTGCATATGGGTGGATTCTCCGGTCTCGGCAGCGTCTTAACAGGGACAACCAATGCTGGCTCCTATCTACCGGCATCAACTCCCACTTGACATTTTTACAGGATTTGGTCCACAATGCATGAATACTGACGGAACATACTTCAGGATCCAGACCGAAACTAGTTGTCAACCAGTACTTCAACTGTCTAATGTCCAGTCTATCCGGGTCAGCTAGTGTCATGATGCCATTTTTAAACTCGCTAAGATCAACCCCCAACTCATTATATCGAACATTACCAGCGCCGTAGTAAATAGTCAGATTTACTGATTCAGACATTTTCACCTGTCAGACATTGTCATCCTCTCATTAATCACAACAAAGACTAATATTACACGTTACACTAACTATGCACTAAAATGCCTCCACAAATATATTAACACTGCACTTCACAATATGACTTATCTAAACTAATTAAAATATACAATTCAGAGAAAATTTGTCATGGCATGGTTATACCTTCGAAGCGTGTGTCCCTAGCTTCTTGCTCCTCTCTTTCACTCAGCGGCACCGGCCACCTCGCGGAGTACTTGCACCACAGGACAACGGCAGCGCCGCCCCCTCGATGACCGGAGGCTCAACTCCGGTCACCCCCCAAGCTGCACCTCCTCGTCCACAGCAGCTGCTCCTCCTCACCACCACCTCCTTCCCAACCACACCTTCTCCACCCCACCATGGCTCCTCCCTCCAAATGCAGAAAATACTATCCCATACCCAAAAAAACACCGTAGGCTGTTGGAGAATGGTATGATCTATCTATTATGTGTCTTGGATGTGAAAATGGGTGCAAAGTGGTGGAGATCGGCGCGGGCTTGTGAGGTTACAGAGAAGAACGAGAGAGAGAGAGAGAGGAGGAAACAGAGTGCGAGCAGCCAGAGGAAGGAGACGGCCTGGCGAGCCTTATCCCGAACTCTTCGATCAACTCTTGGCCGAAGAGCTCTTCGGCCGCCCGCTGGCCGAAAAGAGCCCACTTCGGCCGCACGTGGGCCGAAGCTATGATTTTCGGCCGGCCCGCCACCGACACCACCTCTTCGGCCCAGCCGAGCCCTACTTCGGTCAGAGCCTGGACGAAAAGTCCTTTTCGGCCAAACCCGGGCCGAAAACAACCTCTTCGGCCAGCGCGAGGCCGATGGGGTCATAGTTTTGATTTTTTTTTCACGTTTAGTGCTATAGTTTCCGAATTTGCTGCACAAAAAGTTATAGTTTTGAAAAAAAATATCAGACGTTCTAACCTTTTTAATGTGGTTTGCTCACTAATTTCAGTCTGCATGTAGTCTATATTGAAATATTTAAATCATCTTGTATTTATGAACGAGAAGTTGTTGTGTATACATAGGATTATCATACTCCACCGTGCCATCAAACACAACCTTACGGAAAATCAGTGTACATCCGTCTAGTTCACTATTACTCTCTTAGTTTGTACTAAATCAACGACACTTAATATGAAACAGAAGGAGTACTAATTCTGTTGCAACATATGACATACACGCTAAGTAAATATACCTCCTATCATCTACACCTAGTGATGTTAGATCTCTGATAAACATCCACATGCAGAAGATTGATGTCCACCTAGCACCCAGCCCACCTTCCCCTCGCTATCTTCCCACTTCGCGCATGTGTGCTTGCGCGCGCGCGCGCTCTCTCTCCCTTCGCGCGCGTGTGTGAGAGCACAACTATCTCATTATCACGGCCACTATCTGCGGGTTAGCCGTCTTTATGACCACACCGCTGAGAACCAAATGAGCTACTACGTGCTCTACTTTTTCTCGAGGAATCATTGTGTACTATACTGAGTAACCAGATTTAATTTTGTCAGCGAGCCAACCGCAAACATTACTCCCTTCGTTTCTGTTTATTAAACTTTCTAAAGTTTGACCAACTATATGTATTTTTTTTTGCTTCGGTACACTCCCCTAAAAGTTTGCACGAATCTTAAAGTTTGTATATCAATACACATAACACCAAACTGGCTTCATCATAAAGTATATGTTCATGTTATATTTATTTAGCATTGTACTAGATGTTAATATTTTTTTGATATAATATTTGTCAAACTTAGCAAATTTGTCTTAGACAAAGCTGAAATGCAAAGTAAAAAGAAGCAGAGGGAGTACACGCTGGAGTTAAAACTATCTTGTACGTGTATCAATGGACGCGTCGTCTAAAATGAGTTATTCTGCAGTAGTTATGGCCGTTGCATTATTTTTATATGAATATATGTTATCCGTTGCATTATTTTTATATGAATATATGCTAGCCGTTGAACGATACAGAAGTTACCTTTACCGTCGTGGGAGAGTATCAGGTGATACCACCTCCTAAATGCTCCCACGATACCATTTCAAAAAAAAAATCTAATTTTAAATATTTCAAAAAATTCTAAAAAATGTTGTGGATGTTCACATCGCATGGGTGTATAACCTCTACAAATTTCAGGTTCAAATACTAAATACAGATTGAGAAATAAAAAAAGAAAAATCTAGATGTGAATAGTGGCGTTTTGACTTTTGCCTTTTTCGACACTATTTATGCTGTATTTGTCTTTTCTTTCTCAATGTATATTTTGAATTTGGACCTGAAATTTTTAGGGGCTGGACATGTGATGTGAATATCCACAACTTTTTCAGAATTTTTTTTAAATATTTAAAATTGAAATTTTTGAAATGGTATCATGGGGTGGTATCATGTGATATTCTCCCTTACCGTCGCTATGGATCTGACCGACCCCTTTCCCCTCAATCCTGGCTCAGCCGAGGCGTCCTTGAGCCGTTAGCAAATTGACGGCCAGCCGGAGACGTGCGCGTCCACCGGCTGCACTAACGTGCCCCCCGATGAACAGTGCAACACGCGTTAGGTGAGCAGCGGTAGCTGTCTATTTAAACCTTTGCTTAGCACAACAATTTCCATGGCGAGTTAAGCTCTGGTCGACTCTGTAGCTCATGCTCACACGCACGCTAACTATCCATAGTGTAGCTAGAATGGAACAGCTGACGAGTGACGACTGTCAGCAGGAGGACGAGCTCAATCTTGGGCTCACCCTCCTCACCACGGCCGCGACGGAGCCCGGCGTCGGCTTCTTCCTCTGCGTGTACTGCGACCGTAAGTTCCGCAGCTCGCAGGCGCTCGGCGGCCACCAGAACGCGCATAAGCACGAACGTAGCGTCGCCAAGCGCCGGCAGCTGATCGCTGCCGCGACGCGCGTGGGTGCGCGTGCTGCGGCGCAGGACGAGAGGCAGCCCGGGTACCACCCCGGGGGCGGTGGCGATTTCATGTCTGCGGCTAGGAAGGCGAGGAAGACTGCTGCTGGAAAGGCGCACAAGCACGACAGGAGCTCGCCGGAGTACGACGATGGCGCCGACAATGTGGATTTGTCTATGGCTGGGAAGGCGAGGAAGACTGCTGCTGGAAAGGCGCACAAGCACGGCAGGGGCTCGTCGGAGTACGGCGATGGCGCCGATGACATGGACTTGTCTCTCAGGCTATGATCGACCTACTAGTTTGTCCCAGATCCACACCCAGCTTACTACTAGTTGACAGCGCGCATCCGCTACATGATTCGGTATGCCGAGGTCTTCTTTGGTGATTACATGTGAAACTGCTGCTATGCCTGCTTGTTTCAAGCTCTGTGTGTGTTGGATTCTTATGTTCTTTTTCCGTTGAGTTTTTCCTCATGAAATTCCTTGACCAGAAAGAAAGTTTGATCTTATGACCTTGCTAGTTGCTAGTGTGTTTTCGAGTGTTTATGTTGGGTTGGCTTTGTGCATCGTAATTATGCAGAGGCCGGGTGTATGCTCATATTGTATCCTCTCGATGCTCTATTTGAGCCAATAAAATTCACCCTTTATCTAAAAAAGAAAAGAAGTTTGATAATTTACATTTATCCGTCCAAAATTCGTGCTTGCTTTGTCTTGTCTGCTGGTCTTTGTTTTGATTTCATTGCTTAGCTTTTTCAAATAATTCAAATATATATAAGCGTGATAGAATAGCCTATTCTACACCACCCCTAATAACGCTATATACAATATCTAGTAAAACATTGTATGAAATATAGTACTTCAGAAGTAATTTTGTTCTACTATCCAAGTTATAATTTACTTTATTTTTACAAAAAATATTATATTTTATATAATGTGTTATTATATTTTGTATATAGCATTATTAGGGGTGTAAAATAAGTTATTTTAAACTAGTTTAGCGTTTCCTGAGAATCATTCCTTCTTTTTTTTCTTTCTAATAACCAACAATATAGCATGGGGGTTTCAAGCAAACCAATACAACTCAATGCATTTCACACGCCGGTGGATCAATTGTTGTGTGATAGCTAGCGCGCTGCACGAGCGGCCGGCGGCAAGGACCCGAGCTTGAAGGAGTCGAGCTCAAAGGAGGAGGAGGAAGAGAACAAGGAGATGGATCCTGCGGAGGAGCTCGCGGCTGCCAGCTTTAAGGTCACCACCACTGGAGGAGACGACGTCGGACCTAGCGGTCAAGGGCGACGACGCCGTCCTCCTCCTCTCATGGGAGAAGGTGGAAGCGCCAACCACGCAGAGCTCGTCGAAGAGGCCGAGCAGCTCGTCGCTGAGCGAGCCAACGCTGCCGCCGACCCCACCTTCTTCGTCGAGAGTAACGCCATCCTCGAGCTCCCAAGGACGAGCACACTGGTGAATCGCTGCAAGCTGCTGCTCATCTGTGACGCCGAGCGGGAGCAAACATAAGTGGAGGTTGCCGGCGAGGACTCCGACGAGAAAGAGATGCCGTTGATTCTCCTCACCGCCAACAACCACTAGGCCAACGGCTCCGGCGCAGGGGTGATCGAGCTCTCATCCGACAAGGACTAGAAGTAATTTAGTTCATTTTATATGGATGTAGTTGTAAACAGTGGGGCGCTACATGTTGTGTGATTTAGTAAGACTAGCCACAGTGGGAGTAATTTCAGCAGTAACATCAAGTCCAACTCAGCAAATTTGTTTATGTGGCAATGAGTTAATGAGGAGAGAGATAGTTGTAGTAACTTAGCTAGTTACCGTAACATCACATGTCCCAATGCAATATGAGTCTATAACCTAATAAATGAATCTTTGCATGTTATCATCCTTAAGTTATTACCCACTATGAAGATAGTAACATAGTCTAGGGATATATGTATGTTACTAGTGTATGTTATTATACATTATGCTAGTCTAAGTGACACCACAAAACTCTGAGTAGCTGCAATTATACACCTACCTGCAATTATAGCTTGTCAATTATAGCACATTTATATAGCTTTGACATCATTTCCTCTCACTTCACATATATTGCTCTGTTGATCAACGAAGCATGGCTGACATGGATACGGGGTATGGGAAATGAAGGACGCCGTTGCCCGGCTGGATGATAAATAGAGTTCGGTTAGCTCCTGCACGCAGACATATTTGCACATCTCTGTAGACAAATGGGGGCCAAAATTTGGTGTGACAACCAATGTCGATAAAGGGAGTCATAAATCAGTAGGATCAAACTTGCAAACACATGAATGAAGATTGGATCCAGACAGATCCACAAAATACCATCAGCAATCGGATTCCACAAAATCCGGCGAAGACACACCTATACACGCTCTTTGCCAACACTAGACGCACTGTTGAGATGGGGATCGAATACGGGTGTCATCATTCCCACTGATGGATATCACCGACCTAACCAAGATGTCGAATCTAACAAAAACGAGAGCAGGGCCCCTCCCAGCGATGGGGAGCCAAGGTCCTACACACCTCCATGGCCAAAGAACATCATAGGCCAGGTGGACCGTCTGCAGCGCACTACCGGAATCGCACCCTATGCCGACGGCCAGGGCCGTCGGCATAGCCCTGAAAGGCCGTCGGGACAGGCCTATGCCGACGGCACCCGTCGGCATAGGGCCGTCGGCAACATATCCGTCGGCGTAGCCAGGAATGCCGTCGGCATAGAAAGGCCGTCGGGACAGGCCAATGCTTGCTCGCCACGTGGCAGGTCTGTGCCGACGGTCTGGTCGTCGGCATAGCTGTCGGCTTAGGTTGAAACTATGCCGACGGCTAGACCATCGGCATAGACCTGCCACATGGCAGCCACTGGGAGCTCCTGGAGCAGGCCTATGCCGATGGCTTAGCCGTCGGCTTAGTTTGAAACTATGCCGACAGTGGAACTATCCACCCGGTCGTGTTAGGTCAGCCCATACGAACACTTTAGAGCAACATCCGGGCCAAACCCACAGTAAGATCCCCTCCCTGTAGACCCGACGCGTCCGTTTCTGTAACGCCCCAGATGTAATTTTCCATATTTGTATCCAACTCTTGCCGTCTCCGGCGCTAAGTCATATTTATTTATCGGGTTTGGGTCTTGTCTCCGTGTGTTGTTTTCTTTTTCGGGCATCTCTTATCATGTCATCACGTGCATTGCATTTGCATACATGTTCATCTCATGCATTCGAGCATTTTCCCCGTTGTCCGTTTTGCATTCCGGCGCTTCGTTCTCCTCCGGTGGTCATTTCTACCTTTCTTTCTCGTGTGGGGATTAAACATTTCCGGATTGGTCCGAGACTTGCCAAGCGGCCTTGGTTTACTACCGGTAGACCGCCTGTCAAGTTTCGTGTCATTTGGACTTCGTTTGATACTCCAACGGTTA